GAGAGAGAGAGAGAGAGAGAGAATACCTTATGCCTTCAACCACGAGTTTTACATTTTTATAACGTATCTTTATTTCTATCTTTTTTTTCTCCCCCTTACTTTTCCCGAGTTTTTACTTTCATCCTCATTTACCTATTTTTCGTTTTTCACGATTAAACATACACTTACGGTTTTCCTTCTTAATACATTTAAATATATATTCTTGATATATTCAGTTCCATTAAGAAATATTCTATTGCTATAATATCCTGAACTTTGTTAAATTTATTTCCACTATCTTTCGTTGAATGCAATTTAACTTTCATCGAGATCTTCTGAATAATATTTCTTTCTCTCGTTTTTGTTTCTAAAAAAAAAATAACCAAATTAATGTAAATATTATTTTATCCTAGATAATAATAATTAATTGATTGAAAAATGAAATAATTCAATCGTTAGAATCAAAAATATTTTATTCGAATGTACGTTATATACATTTGAAAAATTTTGTTAACATATTATCTCAATAGAAATTATTCTCGTACTGTTCATGGAAATAATACGCGCGATCCTCCGAATAAAATAATATCCGTATATTAAAATTTCTAACAATGACGTGGACAAATGATATATTATAAAGATTATTCTAAGTGTCATCTCTATTAGAATAATTTTCAAGTTTTTTTATTATATGTTAAAGGGGAGGAGATATTTTAAAAGGGTCGGGAATAAAATGGAGGAAAAAAAAAATGAAATAAATCCATTAAAATATCTCGGCTCGGCCTCCATTTTCGTAGCAACGCAAATAGAATGATAATTCAAAGTATCATTTGAAAATCCTAATGCGCGAATAAAATACCATTTTATACTTGGAGTCTAATGGAGACGAGATTTAAGCGATTCACTCGTTACTCTTGAATCTTCAAACTTCCTAAACGACATCAACGACAGAGAAGAAATATTTCTTCCTTTCTCCTTTTCTTTCTTCCCCCTCCCCCTCTCTATCCCTCTATCCTTCTATCCCTATCTTCCTTTAGGTGAAAGAACGTTAGAAAATACGCGGAATGTAAGAAAAAACGATTGATAAGAGCACCCAGTGAAGAACTTCAAAGAAAGAGAGAGAGAGAGAGAGAGAGAGAGAGAGAGAGTTACCTCAAAAAACGAGATATTATATCTTTTCTTTTCCATTATTTCTTTTGGATTTCGAAGAAACCAGAATCTATCTTTTCTCTTTCTCTCTGACGCTTTTTTTTTTTTTTTACTTTCTTTCCTTTATCACTTTTTATATTTTTCTCATACTTTATTTTTCTCCAGATATTTTTTTTTTTTAACACTTCTTCTCTCTTTCTCTTTTCCTTTTTCGTAATATCTTTTTATCCATCTCTCTATTTCTCTCTCTCTCTCTCTCTCTCTTTTTCTCTCAATCTTTCTTCCTTTTTTGTAATCCCCTCCCCCTTCTGTTTCTCTCTCTCTCTCTCTCTCGTTCCCTTTTTTTTCTTCTCACTTTCTCTCCCTATTTTCTCTCTTGGTATCTTTCAACCATTTTTACTTCTTTCCTCTTGTTTTTGTGAAACATTTTTTTACTCTCCCCTACTCAGTCCACATCATCCCCCTTTCCCTTTTTCTTTCCCTTTCTGATAACTCGCGACAGGTCTTTTTTTTTTTGGATGTTTTCCGCACGAGGTCTCAACTACACCAAGCGTGTATCCGCGATCCGAAAAGCTTTACTTTTTTGGCTAGGTTTCAAAAATTAAAAACCTTGCCAACGTGGTTGGTCGTATCGAACAACCACCCCCAGGCCGAAAGGGTCGAAGGGTAGCACAGGAAACTCGTAAAGTATCGTAGATGAATAATGTGTGGCTTTGGAAACTGTTAAATAACGATTCCCTCGTGTTTCTGTATTACCTAGAATTTTTGGTCTAACGAAATTCTCGGAGTATCGATATATCGTATTTTAGAATTATCGAACTATCTTATTGCTTTGTTTAACAAGAAATGATCACTTTTCAATCTCTTCTATACAAATTCAAGTATTTTTATTTTCTTCTAAATCTCGACAATGCATTTTTATTATTATAATATAACGAAAATAAATTATCGTTGTCTTCTATCTTTTCTCTTCGATTATACAAGGGAATACGATAATTCAAATTTTGTTAATTTTATTAAAAGAATTTTAAAATTACACGTGAACCTTATTGGATTTCAACAACAAAAACATAGATCGATTATTTATATATAATATATTTATAGAATATTTTTAATTTATTCCTGAGTAAAATTATGTTTGATAAACTTGGTAGAAAATAAAAGAGGGGGATGGGGAGATGAAAAAATATGTTAGTATTATTATAATGATATAAAAAAAGTAAATGAAATATCTTCGCCTGTAT